AGAGAGAGAGAGAGAGAGAGAGAGAGAGAGAGAGAGAGAGAGAGAGAGAGAAAGAAAGAAAGAAAGAAAGAAAGAAAGAAAGAAAGAAAGAAAGAAAGAAAGAAAGAAAGAAAGAAAGAAGGAAAGAAACTGGCTCACATGATCATAGAGGCTGAGCCGCCTACAAGTTGCATCTGTGAGCTGGAGAAGCAGAAAGGTCAGGTGTCCTCCAGCCTGACCCAGAAGACCTGAGGACCAGGAGCTCAGTGTCCAAGGATTGGAGAAGATAATGCCCAGCTCAAGCAGCCTTTTCAGGGCAACTGGAGGTTTCCCCAGGAGGTCAGTGCTATCCCTTTGACCTTGTGGTTGCCTTTCTAGATCACACAACCGTGATCGCTCCCTGTGCCAAGGACAGACACGGCTTGAGATTGGAAAAACTTGCATTAACTTACGTCTACACCGGCAGAAACAGTGCAAGCACACTGTGAAACAGCAGAATATTTCTAGAGAAAATAGCTCTTCAGGCCAACTGAACTGAAAGGTGCCCGTGTACGGGAGAAGTACGTATGTAAAACATCGAAACAACTCTGATGTTCTCTGAGATGGCTGGTTACAGTCCTGTGTGGAAAGGCAGGGGAGACTCACAGCAGGGGGGGGGGCTCTTTCCCAAGCAGATCTAGTGCCCCTCCCCCAGCCCCGGGGGGGGGGGTGTTCACTAACTACTAATCACTGCTGTGGTCGCGACTGCTGATAGTGAAGATGGATCCAGAGACCTGGATCCCGGCCGTTGCCCGTTAGAGAGCCTCTTTGCCTAAGAATTACGGAAACATCTGCCAAGCATATTCTGTCTCGCTGTCCCTCCGTCAACTTTCCTAAATTCTTTCAAATGCTTTTCGGGACCTGTGTCCAGGGTCAGTGCTGGGTCAGCCACGGGATGTTGAAAGCACCTGGCCATCAGTAAGTCCTCCCAGTCCTCACCCTGCCTGACTGATGCGGCAGGTGTAATCTGTGAGCATATCTCCCCCCAGGCAGCACCCTGCCACCAGGTCGAGCTGACAGGCTGCCAGTCATTGCGGGTAGGCTCCGTGATGCACAGGCACAAGCTGGCAGGGCAAGGTTGAGGGACCCACTCTTCTGGTCTCAGCACTTTCAAGATGAGTAGGTGGGTCCTAAGTGTTGTCCTTGTCCCTCTGGGTGTGACAGCTAAGAGAATCCAAGGTACCCTCCAGATCTCCCAGCTCAGAATTTCACTGGGAGGCAGCAGTGGGGACAGAAGTCAGCATTTTAAACAAGAGCTGATGAGGTCTTCTGTGTCCTGAAGTTTGGACCCGACTGAGGGAAGGTTGGGGATAGCCTGCCCCCGATCGTCTTTCGGGGTCCCATCCTGTCTGATTCTATCTGAGTGGAGCATTGTCACAAGCTGTCAAGAGGCCCTCTATTCTGTTACACTGGCATAGAAAACAACTGGAAATGGTAAAGGCTGATTTTAAAAGGGTCCCTCTGTGTGTACTCCAGCAACCGTGACACAACTCCAAAAGCAGTAGCAATAATGTTTGAAAAAAAAAAAAAAGAAAAGAAAACCTCAAGATAAGTTGTGTGAATATATGCCCTTACTGATCCCTGTGTTTCACAGCATTTATCAAATAGCTCTCATAAACACCTGTCTTCAGGGGCTGGGGTTGTGGCTCAGAGGTTGAGCGCTTGCCTCACACATGTGAAACACTGGGTTCTATCCTCAGCACCACATAAAAATAAAATAAAATGAAAGTATTGTGTCCATCTACAACTAGAACAAAACAAAACTGTCTTCAGTCCCTGGAGATGTCCTCTCTATCTGAATTCATTTGTGACATGTCATATACACAGGTTAAAAAAAAATTCCCCATTCTTCTTCCTAGAACCTTGAGTGTAGCTTTGTCATTAATCAGAACCTATTAACTACTCGTGTATGACAGCACCTGGGAGCTGTCGCCACTCCTTCCTTCCTATGAATGTTTATTGAGCAACTGCTACATGCCATGCACCCATAAGTGAACAAAAAACATATTTCTACTCCTTGTACCTCCACGATGTTTAATGGGCTGTGTGTGTGTGTGTGTGTGTGTGTGTGTGTGTGTGTGTGTGAGCATCTGGGTAATCAATCACATAAGTGCAGCTCTATCAAGGTCTACAGGTAATGCATGAAGATAGTGACCCATAGCTGTTCCTAATGTTGGCTGGGGCCTGGGGACAGACTTAAGGTTGTTTTTCCTTCTGTGTTCTGCCATGCTGGGGATTGAACCCAGGGCCTCACGTGTGCTAGGCAAGTGCTCCACCCTTGGACCACATCACCAGCCCCACACAGGTCTAAAGGCAGAGCTCTGTCATTCACCAGTGTGATTCCCATGCAGGTCATTTAGCTCTGCATGCCCCTGTGGAAAAGACAGAGAAAACCAGTGGTGTAAACACAACGCGTGTGCTGAGGAGGCCGAGGCAGGAGGGTCGCAGGTTCAAAGTCAGCCCCAGCAAGTAAGTGAGGGCACCAAAGTGCACAGTGATCTGTGCAGAATAGCCACAGTCTGTCATGATAGTACTGAGGTGGTGTCCATCAGGGTGGCCCTCCAGTATCCAGTCCATCCTGCTGCTGTGGCATGGCTGTTAGGCCTCTGGGCAGCAGAAACACCACACCAGCTCCACAGGTGGCTCTGATCAGCCCCTGAGTAAACTGAGCGGCGTCAACCTTGCCTGGATGCCTAGTGCTGAGCCCACCCTCAGGGTGAAAACTCCCATTTCTAGAAAGTTCCCAGAGGTGCTGCACTGGAGCCGGTACTTTGACAAAACAGGGCTTCTCGTTCCTTTCCTTTATGCATAGTCAGGGGTGGGCTCCCAGATCCTGGTTGCTGGATGCCCCCTCCCCAGCGTGAAGCAGGCCGATGTGGCCACTGTGGGAACAAAGGAGAGGCCAGCCTCAGTGGAGCCCACACTCAGAAGAGAAGGTCACAGAGAATGAAGTCCAATCTTAGCTCACAGGGGGAGCCCAGATCCATGGTTGTTACTGAGGTTACCGCTTCTTTTATTGTTTAGATCAGCTGACGTTGAATTTTCTGTTACTTGCAACCAAAATATTCCAATATGCCAGTCATTCCTGTGAGTGTAAGGCCCACATTTACCCCCTCAATAGTCCATGCTGGGTCTGAGCTGGCTCAGAGTAGATCCTCAATAGCTCTATGTCAAGGACATCCAGTCTCCCCTCACAAGACCCAGGGGTGGCCTTAACAGGGGGCTAAGAGCAGTCAGAACTGGCCTGCTCTGCCGCTTGCCTGGCTCTGTCCTGCTCCCCTCCCCCATCTCCCCTGTGCTGAAATGGCCAGCTTGTTTCAGGCCCCAGGCACCACAGGGGGCCTTATGGGTCCAGCTGCCACCTTTCAGGTCACCTGCTTGCAAATGCTCTGCATTCCCTTCCAGTTGTAGCTGGACACAGTGGTGCACACCTGTAATCCCAGCAGCTCGGGAGGCTGGGGCAGGAGAATCACGAGTTCAAAGCCAGCCTCAGCAACTTAGTGAGGCCCTAAGCAACTTACTGAGGCCCTGTCTCTAAATAAAACATAAAAAGGGCTCAGTGGTCAAGCACCCTGGATTCAATCCCCTGTAACAAAACAAAAACAAACAAACAAAAAAATAGACTCTAGCACCTGATTTCCACTGAAGGTTTTCTCGAAAGATGGGCTGCCTGATCTCCCCCCCACCCCCCCACCCCCGTGGCTGGGCGTGTGCTGCGGCCCTGCACCCTCAGCACAACACCCTGGTCACTGTCCGCACGCTGGGAGGGCCAGAGCGGCAAGGAGGCCCTGGAGCAGGAGGGCTCCATTGTAGTTTCCTCTGGCTACCGGGGCAGACCCCTGCAGGCCCGTGGCCTAGAGCAACAGGACTCGTGTCCACTGGCAGTTCTGGAAGCGGATACCCAGGTGGCAGCCGGCCTCACCCCCGAGGTGAGGGGACGCTCCCTGCCCCCTCAGCACCTGGTGTGGGCAGAGGCTCCCTGGCCCCTGCAGCCCGATCCCAGCAGAGCTCGGAGGAGGTGAGCAGCTGGAGAAGGGAGCCGGTGGGCCTTCCTTTGAGCCCCAGGCTGGTCCTGCTCCTCCCGGGGGACCCCTCACTCCTCCAAGAACTCTCCTGCAGCAGGTTCTTCCTCTAGGAAGCCATCCCTGACACTCGCCTTTTGTCATCTCCCCAAGCACCATCCCCATCTCGCAGCCCCAGTTGGACCGCACCATGGGTCGGCTGTATTCAGCACTGTGCTGTTTGCCACCAAAAACATGGTCCTGGTCCACAGAGTCCACTGATGGAAGGTGCTGGACATGCCTTTCCGCATCACGGGCAAGGAGTGGACGAAAGGCCACAGGTAATGTTAAATTGATTATACTGAGAGTATTTTTAAAGTTCACAGATATCTTAATAGATATTCCCAGGGAAGTCCTCTTTGGGGGGGCCAAAGTTTCCACACTAAAGAAGCCCTTCTCTCAAGAATCCGTGTTCCCCTGGCCACCGGACTGGCTGAGAGCAAGGGGTGTCTCTGGCTATACCTGGACCGTGGCTGATGCAGAGTCAGCACAGCCACTTCCCGGAATGTGAAAGTGTCTTCTACAGTCACATCACGGAGCTCGCCCAACAGTGAGAAGGGGCCGCTGCAGGGACAGCAACGTGGCAGTAAGTCAGGAAGGAAAGGCCACCCAGAGGCCACAGGCTGCAGACTTCTGCTGATACCTCGCTCTCTAAATGGCAAATCATAGAAACAGAGTGTCTGGGGTTGGCACAGTGCGGTGTGTGGGTGTGTGTGTGTGCAGTACTAGAGATGGACCTCACGGCCTTACGTCGGTGGGCAGTGGATCTACCTCTGAGCCCCATGCCTGGCCCGCTGTCACCTTGAGTCAGAGTCTTGCTAATTGCTGAGGCTGGCCTCAAACTTGTGATCCTCCTTCCCAGACTCGCGCCCCTGGGACCACAGGTGTGTGCCACTGAGCCCGTCGCCAGCTCTGCCTCTCCACTGCACTGGAGGTCATGTGGGCTCACACTTGTGGCAAGATCGCAGTCACACGTACCGCCACGTGTGAACGAGAGCAGGTAGGCTGAGACTGAATGGGCCCGAGGATGTGCTGCGCCCACTTCCCCACTGACCATGAGGGTCCCTGGACACCCAGTGGGGAGCGGGTAGACGGGAGGGGGGATCGCTGCATGGTTCCTGCTGCTTCCTGTGAATCTAGACGCATTTTGGAAACAAGAAACTCTCTAAGAAGTTCAGTCTGTGGGTGAAAGAGTGACTGTGGGAGCTGGGGACAGGGAACCCCAGAGGGGCCGGGAGGCCAGGAGGGAGGCCAGGAAGGATGGAGGCTTCAGGGCGCTGACAGACTGGTGGTGGGACAGGCGGGAGCCAGGCCTAGATCTCAGTGACTGATGGGGCTGGGGTGGGGTTCCGGGTGGAGGGCGCCAACACTGAAGAACAGATCAACAATAGCGCTGTGGGTCACGGAGGAGGAGGGGAAGGGGAGGCCAGGGCCAGGCTGGTGAGGCTCACAGACACGATTGTTGTCCATTATGAAAAGCTCCATCTAAAAAAAAAGACAAAATATACAAATTTTTTGGGGGGGGCACCAAAGATGAAGGGCTTGACCTCTGAGCCACATCCCCAACTCTTTTTAAATATTTTATTTATAGACAAGGTTTCACTAAGTTGCCTAGGGCCTTGCTAAATTGCTGAGGCTGAATTCAGCAATTCACAAGCCTCCTGCCCCAGCCTCCCCAGCTGGGATCATAAGCAGGTGCCACTGTGCCTGGCTACACATAATCTTAATAAATTGGGACTTCTTGCCGGGCACAGTGTTGCACACCTGTTATCCCAGTGACTCTAGAGCCCGAGGCAGGAAGATCACAGGTTCTAAGTCAGCTTGGGCAACTGGTGAGGCCCTAAGCAACTTAACAAGACCTCGTCACAAAATAAAAAATAAAATAGGCTTGGGATGTGGCTCAGGGGTAAAGCGCCCCTGCATTCAATCCCCAGAAGAAGGAAGGAAGGAAGGAAGGAAGGAAGGAAGGAAGGAAGGAAGGAAGGAAGGGTTTTGTATGTGTGTAACTTCTACCCGGGTTCAGAAAAAACTCTGGGATTCCTCACCCCAAGGTTCCTTACATCACGAACGTCCCACCTGCAGAGCTCCCCCAACCCTGCCCTGACTTTTGGTGATTGCATCCTTGGTTTTCTTTCTAGTTCCACCACTGAGGTGTATGGGAGCCACATTCAGTAGGAGACACCAGGAGGTGTCCAGGTGGGTGTTGGCTCCACAGAGCTGCAGGCCTCCCTTGTTCAGATGCCATGGCGTCCGGGGTCCTGCAGACCCTGCCTCCTCCGGGCTAGAGGAGGACAGGAGGCAGCCTTGCCTGTACCTCACCATTGCGGGCCCTGTGGGGCAGGCTTGTGGCTTGCTGGAAGCTTCCCGGCTGCCTTGGTATTCCCGTCCCTGCATCCTGTGCCTGAAGTCTGACTCTGATCACAGTCAGGTAGATTGGTGGTCCCCTGGGCACCCTGACTACAGCAGTGTGCACAGCTGGCCCAGCTTGGCTCCTGCCCCCACTGCCCGAGCAGGAGCAGTCTCCAACTCTGGCAGCTCTGGTCTCCCTAGAGGGGCAAGGCCTGTCCATGCTGCCAACAAAGGCCTCCATCTCCAAGGAGTACTGTCCTAGAGAAGGCACCATACTGCCACCAACATCTACAGACGTGGGGCCTTGGGCTCGAGGTGTCACAAAAGTGAAGTCCCCTACTGTTAACTCAGACGGCACTGACTGGGCTGGAGAGGAAAAGCAGAGCTGGTCTGGCAGCAGGGGGATGCAGGACGTCCAGCAGATCTTAGTCTCCTCCTGCGAAACCTCTCAAACGGCCCCTCCAGCAATCCTCAGCCTCTGGGAGGAGCAGATCAGGGGGCTGCAGAGCACGTGTCTGGCCCCGTGGCCACCTTTCTGGGGAACATGTCCTTCCTCTCCAGCTGCCTCTCCAAGCGCCCTGTGTGTGCTCCTGGCACTCTGTGACCTGGACTCCTTCCTTAAGACTACACCGTGGCCTCCAGCCTTCCCGACACTCCGTCCGCAGGCAGGAGCCCGAGGCCAGAGGCCCCTCCAGAGCCAAATGCCCAAATTGAAGAACCTTCTCTCCTGCCTGTTAACCACGACATGTGCAGGACACCGTATGCAGGTAGTGCTATGTGTCCTGACGCGGAGAGGCCAGACAGACCTGAGACTGCTCTGGGTCCATTTTGCACATGCAGTGATGTGAGTGCAATCTGTAGCARCTGGTGGATGGAAACGTGACCTGAAGGCACAACTCTCACGATCCCCGAACTCACCGGATTCCCAGTCCAGATCAGGGTGCTACCGGACAACTGTAATGAAGACTGACTTTAGCGTTTCCCACTGATAGGTAACAGAAGCCCATTTAAATAGTCTTAAAAATTTGTTCTCATAGTTGCACTCGACAGTAGAAGGCACTCTGATACATCATACATGGATGAGCATGACTTCCCAGGCTTCTGGTTGCATGTGATGTACAGTCACACTGCTCTCGTAGACACATATGCACACAGGGTGGTAATGTCAACCCACTACTGTCCTTTGTACCCCAGGCCCCTCCCCTCCCTCCACTCCCCTCTTCCTAATCCAAAGAACCTCTGTTTTTCCCTAGCCCCCTCTTATTATGAATCAGCATCTGCATATCAGAGAAAACATTCAGCCTTTGGTTTTCTGAGACTGGCTTATTTCACTTAGCATGATCCCTTTTTATTTTTTATTTTGAGACAAGATCTCCCTAAGTTGCTAAGGGTCTTGCTAAGTGGCTCAGGCTGGCCTTCAACTTGTGATCCTCCTGCCTCAACTCCTTGAGGTGCTGGGATTACGGGTGCGTTCCTGTGGTAGAGCTCTTGCCTAGCATGGGCACGATCCTAGGCTCAATCTCCAGGACCACACAAAAAATGCCAGTATTTCAAGAAAAATTTACTGCCCACTCCCACACTAAAGAAATATAATCATATAAAACCACGAATATTTATGCGTATGCACACACTCACAAAAGTGATCATGCCTGCACCCTGAAGGAATTCCCACAGCCCCTGAGGCCCATCCATCGACCCAGTGGTCAGAAGTTCTAGGGATTTACAATTGGTGAGATCCTTTGTGAAGGAAATATTCTTCCTCTGATTTGCATTTTATAACTCTCTCTGCCCTTCTCGCTCTTCCTCTGCACTTCAAGGTGAGTCCTCCCCTGAACTGCCCTCACTGGCACATTTCCCTTACATCCCATGTTTCAAACAGATCTCACCAACAGACCCCGCATTTTTGCAGAACATAAGCAGCGATCCAGCTCCGTCCTYTGGCGGCACGGCCAGGGCAGTGAGCGTGCAGACCTCTCATCTTCAAGCCCGAACTTGGCTTTGAGCTGAGGGGTGGCTTTCCCACAGCATGTTCTCAGCATTGCTGTGGCCCCAGAGCCACACCAGGCCCACACAAGGGTGCCGTGGGACAGGCTGCACCTGGCTACAGAAGCCACTTGTTCACCTAGGACAAACACATGCTGCTGATAGGACAGTCACCTCTCCTGGCTCCAATGGCAGAGGACTTGGATTTAAAAGGCTGGATATGCCCTTCAGGTACAGTGTTAGGACTGGTCTGTGGTCAGTTGATGGGCAGGCACACTTCTCCTGATCCCTAAGTTCACTGGACTTGCAGGCATGACTAGGGTGCTCAAGGGTGAGTGGTAGCAAGGTACAGAATCAATCTGCTTCACCCAAGTCACCTCATGAAAATTGTGTGCTGCTTACTCCACAAACATTATCAATAATCCTCAGCCCTCTGTCAAATGGCAGAACACCAGTCTTACAGACAGGAAACTAAGGACCAGAGACTCGCATTATCTTGCCCAAGGTCACACAGCCAGGAAGAGGCTCCTGATTTGTTTGGCTATGAAGTCTACACTTTTTTAGCTATCGTGTTGCTTTCCTGGCCTTGGGCTCAATTTGGGTTCAGGCCAGCATTTATAGTGTCCTCACTGCCCGTGGAGCAGTTCACTTCACCCTTGAGCAGGGCCACATTTGCCAACTCACTGTGACCTTTAAACTCAAAGCTGACAAAGAGGACGCTCACGCTAAACCAGTGGAGGGCGTTTCAGCGGACGTTTCTAACATGGCCACGTGATCTGTTTTAGAATACGGAGGGAAGGCATTTGGCTATTAAAAGACGCAAAGGAAAAAAATAATGTAAGACCCGAGCATGCAGTTAGCATCCGGTTCTGAGTCAAGACTGGCTAGCCTACATTCCATAGGGCTGGGACGTTTCTGTCCCTAAGCGTCACTGCAACCTGAACGATTAGATGCACGTATGTATGAGTTGCCCATTTGGCTCTGGTAGGTAACAGAGACCTGTGCGGACAATCAAAGGCTTGCTGGGGACGCCCCGCCTGTACTGACAGACAGGCAGAGAGGGAGGCCATCGCACAGACCATCAAACACCAGGGCTGTCAGAAGTCCCCTCTCCCTTTGATCTGCACTCAGCTGAGGTGCGGCGGGGACCTTGGGGTCATGGGAGAAGAGGGGCAGCGCGGGAGGAATTTCAGGGCACCCAGGAGTGAGAAGTGTTTGTTTCCGTCTTCTCG